ATTGAGCTCCTCCGCGTGAGCCAAAGATACGGGAGTTGCAGTTATTGGGTCCTGGAGTCGTAAGTAGTTCATTCTCTGTGGAAGCTGCACTGGTCGACTGTTTAATCGCTGAGTCGCTTCCCATCCTATGACCAGGTACAGCGGCAGTGAGGGTAGGCCTCTGGTAAACCTGATAAAGCACCTGTTTGTCTGCGCTTTGCCTACGAAGAACTACTCTCTCACCTTGTCTTTATACTGATTTATTGAGATATTTTGTTTTTTCCAGTTTTCGCAATTCTTTCAGGGCTCGCCGTTGAGCTGCTCTAGGAATAAACCCAGTAGTCGGGTGCTGCATGAAGCAATGAAACATAGCAATTCCTGCAGCCAGACGGAGTTCTTTACATGAATATAGCCACCAGGAAAATGTTTTTCCCTCCATCAAACGTGACACGAGAAACACTTGTTTCCCTTTCCCTGGGGAAACAGGGTGACATACATGTCTATTCGAAAGATGGACTTTTTCGAGCATTTTGTCCATCCTTCGAGCTTTCACACTTTTCTGGTCGGCATAGCCTCACCGAAGCCTCCATGAACACATCTTTGGCTGCGATATCATGCATGCTGGTCAATTGTGGTGCAGCTGAGTTCACTTTGGCTTGCAGACCGGCCTTTTTAGTTAGGAGCCGACTCTCTGGTGCGTCTGTTCGTTCATCTTCTACATTCAAGTGTACATGCTAGCTTGATATAAGGAGCCTTAATAATGTTGCGTGCGCACTATAATTGACTTACAACCAGCTGTGATGCTGGGAATGCTATAAGCCACCTGAGGTCTCCTTCAGGGGACTGCAGAAGGGGCGTGCCACGGGGAGGTCCCTCTACTCCTTAGCAGATATCCTACACGAGCAGCCACTCCAAGGAGTCAAGATTTTATTCACTCTTTGATGAAAGATTGCTAATACAGCGGGCAGCGTCCCAACGCAGCTTCGCCAGGTGTATTTTTAGGGGCTACACCTGGTAGAATTTCACGTTTCACAGGTCAAGTAGTGGCGTTCTCCCCCTCTGTTGGAGCCCACGAAACCTCAGATTCCATGGCTACAGGACTCTTCTAGGGATGTTGTTGGTCGGATACTACAGGCAAAACATGGACTCAGGGTTCGACGAGGTCGGTGAGTGTGCTTGCTGTTTCGCGTTTGTTACAGTGTGTGGTTTGAGTTTCATATGAACTCCAAGTAGGTGCCTATCACGTACGCAATCAGCCGCCCTTAGTCCCTGCTGTGGCCAAAGTTCTATCATAAATTATTGCTACGGTGGTGCTATTTTGGGGGCGGAAGGAGGAGAACCAAGCTACAGTTCAGCATTTGGGAGGGGGTTTACGAGCCGATTCTATCCAGCGTTGCGTACAAAAATGGCAGCTTCGAATTAGTAAGAGGGAAGCCAAAAGAAGAAATGGAGATTTGGTGTCGCCTTATTGACCCTACTATGTGGGCCCTCATCAACACCCCCAACCGCTAACAGCCCCACCCCACTGCATCCTTGTGAATGTGCCTTCATACCCTTAACAGCTCTTATCCTCGATTCATAATCCAGAGAATTGTGAAGCCTACTCCCTGAATTCGCATGACGCAGCTCATCCTCTGTGTGTGTGAATGTATGTACTTTCCTCAGTGTCTGGCGTGCGCTGTAGCGACGCCCTCATCGGTTCTTCCAATCTCGCTTTGTGCATGAGTCTCCTCCTCCCATCTCTCTTTCCTTGCTGAACTAGGGGGTGTCTTGTGCTGCTGAAGCTCCTACAGTTGCCGCTCATTTCTTATTGTTTCGGCAACAAGGGAGGGAAAGCCTCCTTGCTTTACCACGCACCCTAGAAGCTCCTGTTGCGGCACTCCCTGGAGGTGCTACAACACTGCAGCATCGCCCTGTACTACCACCATACAACTCACCAACGAGACTGTAGTTCCTACCACTAGCTAGCACACTGTTGGTGTGGACGCGGGGAGTGCTGGCGATGCCTTTGGAGCCGCTCGCTCGGCCCCACTGTGGCAGCAGTAGCAGATTCTTCCCAGTTTCGAGCAGCAACCATGCAACAGCAGCAGCAGCAGCAGCAGTACCCCCCTTCTGCGCCTCCTGCGCATGCCTATCTGCAGCCACAGCAGCAGCTAATGCACAGTCCACCCCCTTGTTTTCCTGCGGCAGCAACGCCTCGCTTCCTACGAAACTTGAGTGAAGCTGCCTTCAGGCTGATTGCTCAAACCTCAGGAGGACCTCCTCCCACTCCCCAGCACCTCCAGCAGCTCGTTTCTCCTCCAGAACCCATCATGCTCTGCGTGCTTGGCTCCTTCACGAGGAACAAGACAGTGTAGGCTCGATGATCGCATGTTCGAAGCATAGCCAGCTCTGCTGTCTCCTCCGCATCATCGACATTCAGAGTGTCAGCAGCGACTCGCAGAAGAGAGTGCAGCAACAAGATCCCTCCCTGGCTGCAGCAGTAGCCCGTGCAACTCCAACGGCGGGAGCAGGAGCGGAGGAGGGATGAAAGGTGCGTGTAGCCTCGTTTGTGTGTGTGCATGCGTTTAATGCATGCAGGCTCCAAGTAACAGACGGAGAGCTTTTCTGCCGCATAGCCTCTGCACAGCCCCCCCCCCTGCAGCCACAGCAGCAGCAGCTGAGCCATGGAGAAGGGGATTCTGCGCAGGCAGTCGAGGCTAGAATGTCTTTAGCTGCAAATCAGCTGAGGGGGAAGCTGCTGCTCTTTGAGAAGCTCAATCTAGCCCTCACACCCAAGTAAGCCGATGCATGGATTACGGCTGCGCCTGTATCGATCGTGTGACAGCTTATGCGAAAAGTTTACGAGCAGCACTGAAGGCAAGAACTGCAGTAGGTGCATGCGAAGCAAGGCTACGCATGCACACGGGGCATGCGTCATGTGGCAGTCTGTGTTGTCAAGTTTTTTTCTTTCAGGGGGAAGTCGGTCATACTGGCAAGATCCTTTCGTCCTCTAGATGGCGACTTTTCCTACCTCGTGCCGCAGCTCCTGAGCTCTTGTACCGAGGTAGGGGGGTGCTCAAGGGGTGTTTCTGCTGCTGTCTATGCACAGAGAGGTCCACATGTGCAGCTCTTGATGCGCCTTCTGCACATGCTTCTGTAGCTGGCGTGCCTCTCAGCGTGCCTGCTGCTCCTGTAGGTGGCTCTGCCAGCCTTTCCTCCGCAGTCGTATGCCCAGAACCAAGGAGAGCGGCAACAACAGCAGCAGCAACAACAGCAGCAGCCGCCGTATCAACAGCAGCAGTATGTGACAGCACAGCAACCGCAACAAAAGGTGGCTCAGCAGCAGCAGCAGCAGCAGCAGGTGTATGGACAGCAGCAGGCGCAGGCAGCAGGAGGACTGGTGCAGCAGCAACCCTTCGCTCAACAGCAGCCGCCGTTCATGCAGCAGAATCAACACAAGCTACCACTCCCATACGGCCAGCCACAGCAACAGCATCAAGCGCCGACGTATGGGCAGCAGAAGCAACAGCCTTATGCGCAGCAACAAGAGCAGCAAGCGCAACTCAGCACTCCAAGCCCGTACTTACCCCAATCCCAGCAGCGTCAAATGCAGCAGCAGCAGCAGCAGCAGCAGCAGCAAGCATATGGACCCCCTCCAGTAGCCTATCAGCAGATGCCGCAGCAACAGCTGCCTCAGGCTGCAAGCGATGGTTATGGCCCCTTGAGGGGGAGCTCACATGGCACTGTTCAGAGAGGTGTGCGACTGCAGCCTTCATCATGTGCAACGTGTTTCTTGTACAGAGTTGTTCTTCTGAGCTTGCCTTGCTGGCTCCCCGCTGCGATTTTCCGCTGACCTCTATGCCTCGCAATGCCTTTTCCTGCCTGCAGTGTATTCTCTCCCCCCCTACCCCGTTTTCGCGCCTCCTGTATATCAATCGGCTCTCCTTTGCATCTCTGCCACTTGCGTCTCTCTGCCTTCTGGAGGCGTGTGTGCGCCTAGCAACCTTTGATCCTCGGGAACGTGTTCTCCCCGTGCGCTGCCTTGCATCATCCCCAGCATGTGCCTTTTGCCTCGCTCGCTCCCTCTGCCGCGATACGGTCACATATGCATGTACATACATCTACATATACATATATCTCCATGCATATGTATATGCATGTGGTCGCGTATGCGCATCTAGCGTTGCTCTGCACAGAGAGCAACGGCGTTCAGGGTTCTCCTCCTTGTGTGCTGCTACCGTCGCATGCAGCGCTGCCGTACGGACAGCCCCCTTCGTGTGGGGTCCGTCTGCCTGGCGAAGCCTTTATTCCGATCAAAGACCTCTCTGTGTACCTCACGCGATGGGCAATACGGGGTCGCGTCGATGCAAAGTGAGTTTACAGACTCTCCTTTCTCCGCTGCGCGGCTCTGCTGCGCGCATTGCGTCTCTGGAGGCGCGAGCTCGCGAAAAAAGCCTTCTTGCCGGCCTTATGGTGCCTGATGACGCCGCATGCAGCATGCGTTCTCGCGCCTCCCTGGTGCAAGGTGTCCATCTCTTCCGGGTGTATATTATTTCCTGCGCCTTCATGTATTGGTATATCCCTTCCGCTCCTGTGCGTGGAAATCCGTGTTTACCGACACGCCTCGCGCCTCCCCTTCGCCTTCCCGCCGTGTGCCTCGTCTTGCGGCTTCCCCGTAGCGTCTTTCACGGCTGTCGAATCCCCCTGCCTCTCTTCTCTTCCTTTAGAGGCGATTTGCGGAGTTTCACAAATGCTAGAGGTCCTGGTCAAGTCTTCAGTCTGGAAATCAGAGACAAAGACGTAGGCGTCAACGTCAAAGCGCTCTTGCTGCCCTTCCTGCGCGAATGCGCCCTTCTTAGCAACACGATCTGCAGCAGAACGCCTCAATGCAGGGGGTCAAACTCCCCAAGAAGTGTTCATAGAGCGACTCTGCGATGTGCGTGCTGCGTTGTCTGACGCTCCTGCTTGGGGTCTAGGGTGTCATTAGAGCTTCCTTCTTCGGCGCTGCAGCTGAGCGGTTCTACGCGCAACTGGAGGAGGGAAAGGTGAGTACTTTCGTAGGCTGCTTGTTCTTTCTCTTTTGCTTCGTTCTTTCTTTCCTCCCAAGCTTTTTCGCCATCCTGGGGTGCTGCTCACACCGCAATCCACACACTTCCTGATGTCTAAACGTAGCACTGAGCAGGCTCCCTTCTCCGCCGATCTGGATGTGTCTCTTTATCCCCCAATACGCTTCAGGTGTACTCCTTCAAGGGCGGCCATGTCAAACCAAAGAACGAACGCTTCAACAAGACACCCCACCCATACGAACTGACCTTCGATGAAAAGGCCATCATCACCGAAGCGGAGGAAGCCGCAGACATTCCCGTCATCTCGTAAGCTGCAGCTGCCCTTCTCTGCAGCTGCCTTCTCTGCAGCTGCCTTCTCTGCAGCTGCCCTTTCTGCAGCTGCCCTTTCTGCAGCTGCCCTTCTCTGCAGCTGCCTTCTCTGCAGCTGCCTTCTCTGCAGCTGCCCTTT